GGCCCCACACAGCCTTCGTGGCCCGGCGCAGCGCGCTCCGCAGCGGGACACAGTACCTCGGGTTAAGGGAATGGCCGGGACGATTAACCGGCAGGAAGACAACCCTGCTTCCCGGCCCCTTGTCGATATGGGAGTTAACCCTCAAGAACAAAAGGATACTGCAGGTTCAATAACTGAAATGAATGTTGGTCACCCGGTGTTAGGCGGCATTACCTAGGTTGTGGGGAGGGAGGGAGCTGGGCTTCCTGGACCCCGGAGGATTGGGGTTGGGCTCTCAGCCCTTGGTCTTTCATACAAAAGCAGGGACCGTCCGCGTCATCAGAATTCAGAGGCCCCATCCTGTGGGGTCCTGTGGGGCCCCCGGGCTCCCTCGCGGCAGGGCTCCTCGAGGTCTGAACTGCCTGTCACCAGAAGCAGTGAATCCAGGGGGCGGGGTGGCCGGTAGAGCTGAGCGCCTCCCTGCCCTGGCTCGAGGATTCTACAGTCGAGAGGCTCAGGAGGAGAATCTGCGGGCCGGGATTCCTCATGGAAACTGTTAAACTTACTTGGGGATAATTTAGAAGTTTCCTACAGTCTTACCTGGTGCAAGCTGCCCACGACCTCCTTGCAGCCACACTCCCCCACGGGGTAGACACTGGTTACAACTCATGTTTTACAGTGAGGGAAATTGTGACTCAGGAATGGTGAAGTGACTCTCCCAAGGTCGCAAAGCCACCAGTGGATGGCAGAAATGAGAGCTATTGCTTGAACCCAAATCCAAGCTCTCGACACTGCCCTGCCGGCACCTGGCCTCCTCTCTCCTATCCCAAGGTGCAGCACAATCCTCTCTAACTTACAGCCAAATGGGATGCTAGAGGTGGCAACAAAACAGGACAAATGAAGAGCAGGACGGCGAGGGCAGGGGTGGGACTGCTAACCCACCCCTTTGGAAGATGCTTTAACCGCAGGTTTCAACCGCACCTCCCCCCAGAGTGCCATAAGGTGTTTCAGTCCAGTCTCTCCTGATATTCAGAGAACGAAAACTTTTGTCTGTGAGTCTCTAGTCAAATGACAGAGAATCGAGGACACATAACCTGTGGAAGCATGTTCAGCGGTGGTTTTTTTTTTAACTTTTTTTATTTAAATAAGGAGAATTCTTTCATATGGAAAGAGCTAGTACAATCACATATTTGAAAGGAGAAACAACAGGTACTGAACCGGAGGGAAGAGGGGAGGGTGAGTGGGCCACCATGGCCAGTTGAGTCCACAGTTCCATTTCCATCCAAGGTCAAAGCTCCCCCAAACAACGTAGAAACAAGCTGCATGTTACACCTTTAGCCATCGTCTGCCCTTTCAAATATCTGGTCTACGTGAAAAGACAAAGAGAGGAAAGGCCAAAATAAGGAAAAAAAAACAAACCACCCTCTCAGGAACAAAACCCCAAACCCTTTTGATGATGCAAGGCATGAGGTCCGAAGCCTGGAGTACAGTATCCCCTCTGAACAACGGAAGAGTCATCCACGGAGCTTTACAGAAAGTTCCACTCCCAGGCTTCGCAGCGTGAAGGAAGGGCCCTGGAGACACTGCTGCCATCTTGGAGACCACCTAACGGCTGGAGAAAAGCTGAAAAGCAGGTGGGATGCACCGGGAAGATCACTAGCCACAAATGCGCTGGTGGTCCGGGTCGAGAGCACAGCTGGGGGGCAGCGTCTGACCCCGTCCCTGAGCCACTCCTGTCGGGGTGATCTCTCTTAGGTCCGTCTCACATTTTTCAGACAGGAAGAGCTGGCTTTCTGGAAGTCTGCATTTCCCAGTCATCACAGAACACAACAAAGCACAAACATTCTAGTGTCCTTGGCTGTGGAAGGCCATTTCCAACAGACCTTCTAACCCAGGCTTGCTCTGCAAGAAGGGAAAAGGAACAAATGCAAATTTGAGAGGCAACATGCAGCTACTTGGCAGAGGGGAACCAAACAGCAGAGGGGGCTTTCCCAGTTCACCACCCACTGCCCCAAGGGGCCAGATCTGCATGAGGCTGCACACGTGTGCACACCCTCCACCTCCTTGGCCCGTGGGCATTAGTCACAAACCTCATCAACCATCCAGAAGGTGGATCCAGAAGACAGGAGGACGAGGGTACGGCTGGAGAGAACTGATGCCAATATTTAACAAGCTACCACAGTATCCCCTCAAAATGGCTGGAATAGCCATGGCTTTGGAACCGGACCAACCGAGTTTCCTGAATGTGGGAAAGTCATCCTTTAGTTTTCCCCCTTAAAGAACCAAGAGCCAGAAGTGTATGAATTCCAAGTTTGAAAACAGTAATCATGTTGATTAAAAAAAAAAGAGAGAGAAGCAATGGTAAAGAAAACCAGACCAAATACAGCTGACAAAGAAGTCTTCAGTGGGGGACGACGCCTCACAGATACATGAACCCACACTCTGGGGCTTCACCCCACTGAGAAACTGACGCTGGACGTGCACTACGGCGGGTCACTGCTGCCGAGTAGCGGGCTACAGCTTCAACAGCCAGGGCAAAGCTGCCAGCATCAGAAGAGAGGGCATTTTTAGTAGGCAAAGGTGCAGGGAGAAGGTTCTGACACCCCCCACAACCTCAGTGGCAGAAAAGTTAAGTGCTGGTCTTCGCCTGTTCCCGCCAAAGCCTCACAGCATTCTGGCAGAGGCCTCTGCATGGACATGCACTCTGAGGATGGGGATTTGAAGCCAAAGTAAGACCTTAAGTCCTATTACCTTGAGCTTGGCTCTAAAAACCACATTAGAGGAGAGATATTGCACCTTAAAACATGTCTGCACTAATCAGACCTGATTAACTCTGCATTTAATCAGGCCAAGGAAGGGACTGGGTGTTGGGCAGGCCTGAGGCCTACCTTCTGCCTCCAGAGTTCAATTCAAAATCCGTATCTTAGTGGGAAAGAGACCACAGCTTGGGCACAGAGAGGTGGTAAACGCACTGAACTTCACATGCAATTTCCTGGCCTTTCCTGCACAGAATAATTCAGACATTATATATAAATAGAGCAGTGAAACATTTACCTTTTTTTCACCTAGACCTACAACATCAATACATATAAATAAATTCTAGTGTTTTCTGTTTTTATTGGGGAGTGGGGGATACAGGGGTAGAGAAAAGGGCAGGATAACAGGTGACCCTTTTTTCCCCCCTCAAACAGGGAGCACTGTCACTGTGATGGCAGGTTCACCTGAAGGGTACATCTTGAGTTTGTAACAGCATCCAGGACTGTTCTGTTGAATTCCAAAGTGACAAAAACTTTTTTCCTTTTGATAGACAACGTGCACTGGAATTAAGTGTGAGGGGTCTGGCCGTGTTTTCTAACTGTAAGTGTGTGGCTCCCGCAGGGGCGGCCGGAAGCAGAGAGGAGGGCGGCTCGGGACTGGGACAGCAGCCAGATGCCCGCCGGGGAAGTGGGTGGAGAGCGCATGGGCACACGGGGCCCTCCATTCAATGGGTGGCCCTTTGAGAAGGGACTTTAGGGTCAAGATTCAGGGGATGAAGGAGAAAAAAAGACAGGCTAGTGAGAAGTAAGGTCTGAGAGTAGAGGCAAGGAGGGGAGTGCTGAAAGCTATTGTTTAAGCAGTAAAGCATCCGGTCCTCTCCAGATGACCCCAGGAAGAGACCTGGGCACTCTGCTAGGAGGCTGTCCCCATTCCCTTAAAGCAGTGAGGAGCAACGAGCAGTGACCCCAGTGGTCCCCGAGGCACTTCCTTTCCTGTGTCCTCACTGGACACGGAGCCGAAGACCACGGCCCGGGGCACATCCCCTATTGCCTACCCCCTCATCCTCTGAGCCAGGTCTTCCCTGGACCCACCAGCAATGACAGGTAGATGGCTGGTTAGTTACTCTGAAGAGAATGTGCAAAGCTTGAAATAAACATCCTCTCGCCCTTCCTTGGGATGACAGAATCTGGGAGGATTTCCTTCTAGTTCTTCTTTTAAAAACAAGAAAACCCCCAGCATAAAATGCCTCACACACACATCCTGACAGAGGCGGCTCTGCAGACTCAAGAGACCACCCAGGCTGTTCCAGAACCACGGTCAGCCCTGCGACCCATCTTACCTTCCCCCGGACCCTGCTCTGGCCTCTGCAAAGACCCACACCCACTGCTCAGTTCAGGCCTCTCTGTCCCAGCAGCCTCCCAGACCACGTGCAGATCCAGCCAAACCGCCATCCATGCCCTCTGGTCACTATGCAGAGGAACTGCACGGTCTCTGGTGACAGCCACCCCCACTCCCATCACCACACGGAGGAACCGGTTTCTAGCTGCATGGGAAGTGGAGGGACAGGAGGACCCAGAGAGGAGGCAGCAGGCTCAGGAAGAAGGAAGGAGACGGGCATGATATGGAAAGTTTGAGGAAAGGGGGAGTATGTGAAACAGCCCCTGAAGGTGCTGAAGCCCCAGAAGCAGAGACGCTGAAGGGTGATGGTGCCTGGTGCTGTCCGTGCACTGCCCAGGCCAAGCTGGAAAATGCCAGAGCCTTAATCTCCATGATTCACCTTGGGTGCCCAGCGGTCAGTGTTCCCACTAGCTTCAGAAGAGTCTAAGACAGAAATTCTGTTTAATTCTTATGCTAAAAACGCCATTAACCTCACTGGGCTGCCCGTAAGCTCCCCTGGGCCATCAGGCCAGGGGCTGGAACTCAACTGAAACGCCGCCCACCCGCCCACCCTCCCCGCCGCATCACCACCTCCCAAGCACACGGTGGGACACCCTGTGCTTAGGAGCGTATCTTAAATCACCACTCCTTTTTACAAGTAACCTCAAGGATTAACCAACAGAGATCAGGAGAGGACACATTCTTAAGAGTCATCTCTTAAGGTATCGCTGTGATGTGCCAAACTAACAGGAGAGAGTTCATAGGAAACTACCAGAACAGAAAAGGGGGTGGGGAGAGAATGGTGAAGGACATATAAAAGTCCAGCTACACAGACATAGCTTGTGTTTTTGTTTTCTTTTCCTTTCTCCTTTGTAAAATCTTTAGCTGCTTTTTAAAACAAAAAGTCTCCAACTAATAAAATGGCCCTGCTGCCAAACCAGTGTGCCTGGGGACAGACAGGAGGCGGGCGGGGAGAAAGCGCTGTGAGGGCCCCTGCGGCCAGGAGGGAGCGGGACAGGAGGGACGGCTCATCTGCACTGCGCGAAGGCTGTCCCTCCGCAGTCGTGGCGGAAAGGAGATGGGAATGGAGTCGTCTGCTTTTTTGTTTGTTTCGTATTCAAGCAAGCAGGTCAATGCCACGTATCCAGGGGTGCAAGCTGGTTGGACGACGTTGCTTTCAGGAGTGGAGAAGAGAGGGAGGTCTCTCAGTCCCTCCCGGGGGTGGACGGTGCATCCATCCGTCGGTGAGACTCCGCAGCATCAGCATCCGGTTGCGTGGCGGCGGTCCTCGGGGCAGGCGGCCAGAGCCCCTTCAGGCCTTGCTCTCCTCCACTTTGACTGCCCGAGGCTTGATGGCTCCCGTTCGCTTCATCGGGGAAGCGGCTGAGGGCGCCTCCTGCAGCTTCACGCCTCCCAGGCTGGGCTTTTCATCCACTCGTTGTTTGGCCTTTGGACAGACGAATGGGGACAAAGGAAGTTACCCTCATGCAGAATCACGGGCCAGGAGACGCACTCCCACCACCCACCTGCTGCTCCTCAGTCACGGGGAAAAGCTACAGGAAAGAGCCAGTCCTCGGGCAGAAAGACCAGACTTGGAAGCAACTCCCTCCTGCGGGCGCCGAGTGCAGTGATTCGGAGGCAGGAAGACACCAGGTCCTCGGGCAGCTTCTGCGGTGCCCGCGGGCCAAGGCCCACTGGAAGAACCTTTTCAAATCAGTGCACCCCACGCCCCTCTAGTGCACCCCACAAGTCTTACAGCTTCTGACTGTGCTGAGCGGCATGAAGCCTCTTGGCTGACTTGGTTTCCCAGATCTTTGACCCTCCCCAGCTCTCACTTTGTAGAAACCTTTCCTAAAGCCCCTAGTTCATCTCAAGATTCCCAGTCAGGGTCCCCTGAACGTGCAGCTCTGTGCAGCGAAGTGTATCAGATTCTGCCCCTCACGCCGTGGTGCGAACTCTGGAAGAAAGCTTTGGAAGCTCAGTCTGAGCAATTCGAAGAGCAACCCCCAGGGACCCAAGGCAGGAGAAGTGAAATGAACAACCCCCTTCCACCAGAACGCTGTCTGACTCAAACCCCACGCCTGACGTGTCTGCGCCCCGGAGCCCGGTCACTTTTTAGAGGAGTGGTGAAGAGAACGGTGCCCAAGACCAAGACACTGAGACATCCCTCTTAGGACAAAACGGGAAGACGTCATTGCGTCTGAACCCCACCCGGCCAAGACAAGGACGAGACACAGCACTTACTAGAGCTAGCACGCGCAGCCACACGCCAGGCACACCCGCCAGGCACGCACACACGCCCCGGCTTCTAGAGCTGACCCACAGGCCTAACCGAGTCCCAGCGCCTTCACAGCCCAATCGCTATGGAGGGATAGTCCACCTTCTGGCGTCACCTCCTCAGAGGAATCCGCATCCTCCCTTCTCTGCAGGACAAGGAAGGATCCAGACGCCCGTCAAGAGGAGAAGTGCCTTCTCCAGGAGGGACTCGGGCTCCCTGGCTCCCAGCGCCACGCTCTAAGCGCCAGGGCACGTCTCTCTAAGAGGAGCACTCAAACAGGCTGGACAGTCCCTCCTCTTTTGGCGCTTGGAGACCGGCCTAAGCGTCCGGGGCTGGAGGGTCTGGAAAGCCATCTTCTACCTGTTGAACGTAGTGTCCCTGCACAGAGCCCATGTTAACTGCTGATCCAGAGGGCTTCCCACTGGGGCTAGCAGAGCTAGGCCTGAAAAAACCAAAGGAGGGGGTGAGAACACACGCGTCACCACAGAAACGGAGTGAAGCCTCCGATGGAGGAAATAGAACCGGACAGGCAGAGCGCAGGGCGAGGGGGTCGTCACTGTGCCCTGGCACCTCCAGCCCAGGTCACAGAGCTGCCCTTGGGGGGCAGAGGCCAGGGCCCCATCACGGGCGGACCCTGAATGGGCGATGGACGGACACAACGGACCGCCTCTCAGGGTATGGAGGGTCTGGACCAATAGGATGCTGGGATCCAGACACAAGGTCCGTAAACCTGACAAGACTGATGCCGAGTATCTTTCTAGTCTTCGCTTGGGGGTGGGGGTGGGAAAAAGAGATACCAAAAGTAACAAAAATGTACAATATCTTTCTAAATGTGTTCCACAGACCAGACGGCTCCCTCCCAGGGATGTTAACTAGGTGCTATGCGGGAAAGAAAGATTCTGTGGTCAAAAATCCTGAGAAATTATGTACGTGGAACTCAACAGGACTCTCCCCAGGGGCTACTCCACCCCCACGCTGAGGTGCACCCCGACTCCCCAGCAAGCCCTCCTGGGCATAGCACACCCCCAGTATCTGCACAGGGAGCTCTTTCCTGACAGGGCGTGCCTCAGAAGTCCTGTTCCCAGAAAATGTGGGAAATGCTGCACTATAAAAACACACCCGTTTTCCCAACCCTGCTGAAACATCAACAGAACAGAAGCTGCCAGTTAAGGCTGACATTTCCTAAACATTCTTCAAAGAATAAAGCTGCTGCCACTCCTACACCGGATGGACACAGGCAACTCTCGTGCGAGCGTCCCTGCTCTGGCCTGGCCGCCGAGGAAGGCGCTACACAGATGCGGCTGAAGTCTGCCCGCAGCGTCTGCCCACGCGGGGCGCTTCCTCCCTTCCCCCAACCACACCACTGTGTGGTGCTGCTGTCCGTGTGCATTTTTCTTTCATTCTATTATTTTGGCCAATGTGAACAATATGGTTGGAAAACAAAACAGAGTACGTAAAGCCAAGAAAGTGAAAGTAAGAACAGAAAAGATAAAGAAATGGGGAACAATTCACAAAAATCCCTCTCTGAGGAAGTGCAGTTAGAAACGCGGAATGCCGGGGCAGAGGAGGACTCAGCCTCCACGCTCCAAGAGCAACAGGGCAGGGCGACCACAGCAAGAGTGACTCGGGACGTCAGAGACTGACCTGCAGGGGTGCCTTGCCCCCGCCAGGGACCCACGCGCCGAGCTGCGCGGTCAACCTCGCGCGGGACACTGCAGGTCCTGGATTTCTTCCTACTCATTTGCCAACAGGAGGGTCTCCGGGAATCTCCCACAATTAACAAGAGTCGGCTGTACCAACCCTCGGGCCCAAAGCCAGAGTGTGCTGCCTCCCAGCCAGCGCTCTTCTCCAGGGGTGAAACGTTCTCTGACTTTTTAAACATACTAAATAGAGTTGACCCTTGACCATCACAGGGTTTGAACTGCACTGATCCACTTACATTCAGATTTCCTTCAATAAATACGTACTACACGATCCACAGTTGGTTGAATCCCCAGAAGCAGAACCATGGATATGAAGAGCTGGCTGTGAAGTTATCCCTGAATTTTCAACTACGTGGAGGGCCAGCGCCTCAACCCCTGCACTGTTCAAGGGTCAACTGCAATTCAACATCCTAATTTATACAAAGCCACCTCTGAATCCAGCTGAGGGGCCGGGACAGTTACTGGAGGCTGCGACAGACCCAGAGGAGGCAGAGGTGGGGCCACACTGAGGCACAGCCCCCAGCCCGGCAGCAACAAGTCCTGGGAGGGTCAGAGGGCCAGTTCAGGGGACACGCGGCCCTAGAAGAGGAAGTTCTCCTCTTCTAGGGTGTCTGCCTTCTCCACCAATCTTCTTAAAAAATCTGGCAAGAAAGCTGTGAGTAGCCAGGGTCAGTCCTGACGCTGTTACAACACCAGCCGTTCCTTTTCCTAGCTCTCCCAAACCAGAGCACTTTATGGTGAGAAATAAAAACAAAACCATCCTCCCAATTTCAGATTCTCCTGTGTCCCGGCACAGGAACTTCACGGTGACAAGCGGGCCAACAAAGGCGACTCAGCCTCAGAGCCCTTGTGCTGCTCCCCTGGGCCCAGGTCCCAACAGTGAGGGCCCCGCTGTGAGCATCCAACCCCTGGTGCGTCTCTTTACCTGTAGGTCTGTGGCGACGGCACAGAGCCTCCTGAAGGAACATTCTGCTTACTGTCGGCAAAGTGGAAGCCCTTCATCTCCATCTGAGAGGACTAAAGAGACCGAGACACGACAGGCTGCCACTGGAGGGCTCTGGAGACAGCTGGCCCTCACTGAACCACCCTGGGCAGAGCCGACGGGGCCCTGATGGCCTCAGGACAGAGAGGCATCTTCTAAGGGAATATGCAGGCCTTCCCCCTCAAGTCCAGGCTTCAGGCAGGAATGTCCAACATTTTTGCTTTTTTTCCGGTGGGGCAGGAAGCGTGGACTGAGCACCCCCCCCAGTAGACCCGCGTGGTGGACGCGACCTTGCTCCCCTAGGAGTATGCTCAGCAGAATCTGGGAGCTGGTGAGGACTGCGGGTTCCACACACTTCCTTGCCACCCAGCCCTCGGCCTCAGTATCACACACCATCCCCGCCCTGCCCTGGCATCTACACACACCCAGTCCTCTTGTGTTGCTGGTTATACATGACCAAGGGGTTCCTGCTGTGGGACTGAGAGGACTTGGCAATGAACAAGAGATCAGCAGGGGCCTGGTGAGGCCCTGGAGCTTACCTCCCGGACCGCCAGCATTTTCTGCCACAGCAGTGGTTCCTGACTATCTAGAGAGGGTCCCTAGGACAACCTACCCCCCACCCTGGGGCACAGCAAGAGGGAGTCAGCCTTACCTCTCTGCTGGTGTTAAGGACCGAAGGCTGGGACCCAGGCGGGAGAATTCTTCGGGGGGCCCCGACAGAGAGGCTTTGCCCCTGCGGCAGCTGGATGGATTGTGGCAGGATCAGGGGCTGCTGCCCGGAGCCATAGCGAGGCAGGGGCAGCTGGGAGCCGGGCAGCGGCATCGTCAGCTGCAGGACAACGGGGACAGTCAGGAAGAGGACGAGATGTGGGGAGAAAGCCACAAACGAGCATTTACACACGCATCCAAGAGCAACCACAGGTTCTACTGCAGGTTCTTATCCCAGAATAATGAAAGCAAGGCCTTCACACGGCAGACAGACGCTGGACCACGGTCTGAGCAGAGCAGACTACCCCAGACTCCACACTCTCAGAGGCAGGGACAGGCCCTACGTGGTGGCCGTGCTCAGCTCCTCCCTGAGGACTGTCTGTGTGCAGCTCTGGCCCTGCCGCTGTCATCCCACAGAGGTCCCCTGAGCACGCGGTCCGTGCTGGGGAGACCCCAGGACACGTCCAGACCCAGGAAACAGCTAGAACACAGTGACACGCGGGACACAGAACGGGTACAGAGTGCGTGGAGGTGGGCTGGGTCAGGGAAGGCTAGAAACCCCCTCAGGAAGTGGTGCACCTTGGCGCTACTCCGTGCAGCACAAAAAGGCAAGGCCCTCTCACTGCTTTACCTCCAAAGGTGACAGAAAACAAGACTCAACAGGGGTCTGGGATTTTGGGTTCCTGGAATCGTTTTAAAGCCTGAGATCCTTTTGAAGCGTGTTATGACAGAAGAATGGGGCGGGAACTTCCAGGCCAGAGGGAATACTCCTTAAGTCCGAGGTGGGTGAGAGGGAGGAGGTGGGCCTGGAGACCCTCGGGGGGGGGGCAGGGACGGGGAAGCCACGTTCTGTCTCTCAGTCACAGTCCTCCTCATCTCCCTGCTGTTGAGTCCACTGTGGAGGGTCAGAAGGATCTATTGGAACTGCATCACTGAGACACGTGGCGGCCAGACCCCAGGACCCTGTGCTGCCCCTTGTGCACAACTGGGTGTGGGATGGGGACGGGGATGGCACTGGCTCAGGGTGTGGTGTGACCTGACTTGTGTTTGAGAACCAACCGTCAGGCCCAAGGCAGGAGCTCCTGCAGCCTGGACAGGGTGGTGGCTGGAGGGGACGAGAACGGGCTGGATTCTGAATACTTTCCACAGGCAGAGCGAACAGAACATGCTGAAGAGGCGGGGGGTTGGGGGGAGCAGGGGCCCAAGGATGACCGATGCCAGACAGGAATTCCGCTCACGTTAAGCCTGAGCTACCATGAGTCATGAGCAGAGGTGGCAGGCAGCCCACTGGATCTGAGTTCAGATCCAGGAGATGGATCTGGAAGAACTGGGAAAAGCTGAATTTGGATGAAGCTTAAAGCCACAGGACTAGAAAGGGGCCAGAGGACAGCGCCCAGGAGGCACAGCAACTGAGAGACTGGGGAGGCAAGGAGGGAACAACAAAGGAGACCAAGGAAGAAGGCTTCAGGGAGGCAGAAGGAAAACCAACAGAGGTGTCCACGGAATCGAGAACGTGACTCAGAGGGAAAGAGCGATCACAGGGTCAAAATGTGATGGGCCAGCAGGAGGACGATGCAGAACTACCCATCAGACTCAGGAACATGGAATCTACTGGTATCCTTAGACAAGATTTCTGGGTTTTGTTTTTTAAAAAACCGGAGGAACTTCCTGGAGATGTGGTGAGAGGACCTTCACGGCTGGAGGCAGCAGGGCAGCACATCTGAGTGCCTGCTGGAGCAGCGCCCAGGGGGGCGGGCAGGACACCTCCCAGGCACACAGCCCACCCTCAAAGCCGGGCCGGCCCCATCCCCACCCCTTGGCTCGGAGGCGCTGGGAGCTTGGAGCAATCCTCTTTTTGTTACAACTGCTATTTCCTTGGCAGCACAGGATGCAAGATGGAGGTGGGGAAGGCAACGAGGAGGGTAGGGAGGCACGCAGACCCACGGTGGGTTGGCTGTCTGGAGCTGAATGTGGTTTGACAGGGGTGTCTCCTCCCGTCATAGACAGCTGGGCAGAGGCAGGGAAGATCTAACCCTGGTTAACTCAGTGAGGGAGGGGCGGAGCTGAGTGCAAAGACAAGGGCGGGTGTGGGGCTCTGCTGAAGGGGCAGGAAAGGAGGGCGTGAGAAAAAGGTGGTCTGAGGCAGGTCACCAGATGGAGTGGGAGAGAAACGTCAGAGGTGGTGACCGGGGAGGACCCTCAAGCCTGAGATGACGGCTCCCGGTAATGACCAGTCCAGACAGGAGCATGCGCAGAGTGGAGCACTCGTGGTGAAAAGGCCATGGAACTGGGGGCAGAGACCTGGGGTGTCATCTACAGAGACAGCAAAACCCCTGAGATGTACCACAGGAGCCATGCTGGAGACGGAGCCAGGGGCCGAGGGAGGGGAGTGACCCTCAGAGCTGTCTCTCTTGCCCTCGGGTCAAGGGAGAGGATGACAGGGACCCCCATGCGGACTCAGCAGTGTGCTCACAGTAGTGTGGAGGGCCGGCGGTGGCAGAGTCTCTGGTGTGGGCCTCAAAGCTGGGGTTAGGGAGGAGGGAGGCAGAGCAGTCTAGAAGCATCAGGGAGCATACCCAGAGGACACTCACACACCCCCAGCCCCAGCTAGGAGGGCGGAAAGAGAAGCCTCACTCTTAGGAGAAAGCCAGGCCTCGGGACTGTTGACAAGAGGTGGAGGACCTGGCCCTGGTTCTCGTAGCCCAAGGACCAGTCACAGCGGCTACAGACAGCAAGTCAGGATACATCAAGAGGCAAACAAAAGGGATAAACAATCATGAAGGAAAGAGCCCTGGTGACTGAATTTCTGACCTGTGGGAGCTGGGAGTCCAACATCTGGGAGGCGCTGAGCCCTGCAGCCTGGCCAAGCTGGCTCTCGTAGACCAGGGCTTGGTTTCCACTCATGGGCTGGTAGGGCGAGCCGGACTGGGGCTTCACCATCTCCAAAGGCTGCATGCCTGGGAACGCCGAGTACGGGGGCTTCAAGGCTGTGCCTCCAGAGAGGATCATGGTGCTGGGCGGTGACAGGCTGGGGTGCATGTACACCTGAGATCTGCAAGAGCCAGACGGGCAAGTCAGGTGCACGACCGCACCGGCGCTATCTCAACCGTGAGCACGTGAGCACGTATCAGCCTGCTCAAACACGGCTCCCGGCCCTGCCCCTACAGTTTCTGATTCAGAAGGTCTGGGATGGGCCCTGAGAACCTGCATTTGCAACAAACTCCTAGCTAGTGCTGCTACTGCTGGTCTAGGGACCACGGTCTGAGCATCACCGAATTAAACAGACCCCATATCCAGGCTGTACAAGGCACAGGAAAACCTGTGTGCTGCCGAAAGCACAGGACATCAGACACCCTGAAAGAGCAAGTCATAGGCAGTGAGGTAGGGAGGAGGGAGAGCAGTATGACTTGGTAAGAAAAACGGGGCCAGGCCCCTGGCCTCCTACCACACAGTTCACTGTGAAGTGGCTGTGACTGCCCCCTCAACCACGGCCCAGAGCAGAGCAGCGCAGAGCAATAGCAGACAAAGGGAACAGGTCCACAGGCCGTGACGCTGGGCCCGTTCTGCCCTGGCATCTCACCTGAAGGGCTGTAAGGAGCTGAAGATCTCCTGAGACTGGGAGACGGGGAGCCCGCCCCTCAGTCCAAGCTGAGCTTGAGCCTGCAGAGATGTGTGAAGGGAAATTGGGATCTGCTGGGCAGCGGCGGCCTGTGGACGGGAAGCCCGGCAGGTCACCATGGTGTCCTCCCAGTTAATACTCACCACCCCTCTCCCCCAGCCCCTCTCCAGGGGCCGCCGAACACTGCCCAGAACACAAACTCAGCATGTCCTTCCCAGGCTTCCTTTGCTCTCGGCAAAAAGCAACCCCAAACCCCAGTATATCCACATACTGGATTCTGTACAGCAGCAAGAACGAATCCTAGCTACACGTACCAACAGAAACATGATGGTGAATGGAAAATGCACATAAAGAACACGTGCAGCACAATTCAGTCACGTGGAGGTCAAGATCTTGCAAAACTGAACAATACAGCATTTAAGAATACACTTTAAAAAGAGGCTAGGACAGGCCAAGTCATCTGTCCTGGAAAATGCACTTGGTCCTGGTCTGTGCAGTCACACGGGGCTGTGGACCGTGGGACCCTGTGGAAAGCCAGCACCAGCTTCAGGAGGGAGACTTCCAAACATCATCCCCTCACAGGACAGAAGGTATGCCAATCCTGCATAAAAACAAACACCTGCTCGCTTCTAAAACTACCTCTTTCTAATGCATCCATGCCTGGGAGTCTAGGCCTGTCTTCTCTTCATCAGAAGGATACCTGATCACCAAAGAGAACTGCGTTTCAGCGAATTCCCCAGCTGGGGTGCAGGAAGGAGAACTTTGAGAAAGGAAAACTATGCAGTGTCTGGAGCACTCGGCCCCATTGCCCCTTCCTGTCTCTCATTTATTCATTCAATAAATGCTGACTGGCTGTCAGGACATGCCAGGAGCTGGGCATAACGTGAGGGGCACGGGAAGCAAGACTGACAACAAACAGATAAATGAAGAAAGTAACCACGCTGTGTGCTGCACCCTCCCCGGTCCCCCACAGGGCCACCTGGCTTGCTCTCATCACCTGTTGGTAACTCTGCTGCTGAGGTATCGTTTGAGGGACCAGCCGGGGCTGACTTGCAAACACATGGCCATCCAGGTAGAGAGGTGCCAGGTGGTTGCCTGGAAACAGAATCCAAGGAGGTAGAACAGGATCAAGTCTCACTGTTCCTGAAGGTCCCGGGACTTGGGTGTGCAGAGCCTGCTCCGGCCCGCTGCCGGCCTAGTGCTCCTGCCCAGCATGGTGCCCGCGAGGAGGGGCTGGCCCCAGCCCACCTTTCCTACCGAACCCCCTCGCCCGCCGCCCCCACACTCAGGAGGGACTCGTCATAACTGAAGGCTGCCTTGGTCTCTCAGTCACGTTCCTCTTCATCTCCCTGCTATTGAGTCCACAGTGGAGGGTCAGAAGGATCTATTGGAATTGCATCACTGAGACTTTGGCAGCTGGGCCCTCAAAGTCCTCACAAGCTGCCTTGCAGCACCAACACAGTGATGGGGATGGTGAGTCAGGGTGACACTGGCTACCACCTATCGAGGGCTCATTGATACAAAGCACTTTCCGATACGATCTGGTCCCATTGGCGTGGCTACCCCCAGAGAGTGCCATCACCACCCTATCTTTTCACAGAGGAGGGGCCAAGGCTGAGAGAGCTGCTGACAGGCAGAGGTGACACACACTGCATGTGACGTGGTCTGACTCTCCAGGACGGGGGCGAGCCTCGCTGGAGTCACAGTCCCGCTTCCCCGTGGAGGGAAGCTGGAAAGCAGAAGGTGCAAGTTATCGGAGCACGTGGGCAGCCACAAGCACCCAGCTGGAAACCAGCTCCCTCAACACACTCCTTCAGTCAAGGAGGAGTGGTGCTCAGGGCCGTCCAGCGTTTCTCCTGAGTGAGTGGGGAGGCTCCCTGCGCTGGCCTAGGGCCGACGTACCTGGAAGGGAAGCAGAAGGTGCCACTGAGGCCACGGGCATGGGCGGCATGGAGACTCCGCCGAAGGAGCTGTAGCTGACCCCGCTGGAGGCTCCCGCAGAGGATGGGGGCTGGAGGCCCGAGCCAGCGCCTCCTGGAGAGCTCTGCTCCGGCAAAACTGGGTGAGTTTTCCCAAGCCTTGCGCGCAGACTCCATCTTTGGAAGCAAGGAGGTGGGGAGATGAGAATCACTACCTGGGAGGCAGCGCGCAGCACAGATCCGAGCCTGGGGAGGGGGAGGGGTCGGCAGGCAAGCTAAGGCACCTGGTGGCCCCTGCCCAGCTCCTGGCAGGGTTACCTTCAGAGTGAGGTCAGCGGTGGGGAAGGACATCTGGGAGAGGCCCATGGCCCTCTGGATGTGATGGTCGCGCCGGAGAATGGGAATGCTCTGCGTCAGCCCAGCCTGGAGGGAAGGCCACCATGGAGTACTGACAGGCACAGAAGAACCCACAGCTCACGGAAACACACCTTCCATTCTGGTCGTGTGCAAGGCCACCCCCAAAATAGCTGCCTTCACTGATTCCCTCGAGAGAAGGCCATGGAGAGCCACGCCCACCCCTGCACCCCACCAAGCCCCCAGCAGGGGCAGCTGTGCCCCAACAACAGGAACAGGACGGGCTGCCAGCACACAGGCGCCCACTGCCTGGTGTGGAGACCCTAGTCCTGGCTCAGCCCCCTCCCCTCGAAACTGTGACAGAGAAGTCCCTGGAAACGAGTTCGGAAATGCAACTGCTAGACCCTCCTCCTGCAGACGCCCACCAGCACGTTACAAGGATTCTGAGAAATTGCAGAGTAAAGAAACTTATTTAGCCCAGCAATCTCTAACATGCGTGACTACAGAACTTGAAACATTTCAAGTCACAAAATGCCAAACAAACCAGACCTTAGGAATTACACTGCCCCATTTTAATTTCGTAAGACCAGGGCGTGGAACAACTTGCCCACGGATGTGTAACTACCTAGAGAGGGCACGAGGGCTCAGACTAGGCCTGCCCACCCACGTCAGTGCTGACACGCCTCCTCTGGTTCTGGAGCGCCACGTGCAGCCCAGGGCCTGCCAGCACGGCCACCATAGAGCTGGAGGTGGAAGCACAGACTTACATTACTGGCCAACGCGTCCTGAAGTTTAACAACTGGATTCCCTGTGGGACCAGAGGCAGAACCAGGCTGCAAGCTAAAGTCAGAGTCCTAGAAAAAGGGAACAAACCCACAGAAATCATCCTGGCTTACCTTCTGGCAGAGACACATTCATTTGGTTCCCAGTCTCAGAAACCCAAAAAACCCACTAAGCGGCACTCATCATGTGAGCAAGACAGCCAGAAGTTTCCCGACGGCACCCAAGAAAGGATGTCACCCCCTTACTCTGCCTGCCGGCTCCCCGCCCCACCCAGCAGAGATCAGCAGACGGCTCGGCCTGAGAAGGCAGCTGCTGTCAGTAGGAAAACTGAGAAGGCAGCTCACAGCACCTCCTGGCCCACGACTCCATGCCAACACGCCCCCTGGAGTACTGCCAGCTCCCATCTCCCTGCTCCTCCCAGGAGACACTGGTCTAAGCCCCCTCCTTTCTCTCCAACCACCCTATTCCCCACAAGGAAACAAATCAAAGCCTCACTTTTGGATTGACTCCAAATTCAATGGGTGGCACCGGCAGCACGGAGTCCACGTGAATCTCTACCCCATTAACAGGTGGGACCACGGCCCCCTGCAGCCGCTCGGCCCCCTCCGAGCCCTTTCTGTTTTTCAGAGAACGCTCGTTGCCGATAGGTCCCGGTCTGTGCTCCTTGCTCTGTCCTGAGCCTTGTTCTGAATCCTGGATAGAAAAGCAGAGGCTGAGACACACATCCTGGAACGACCCTGATCTCTAGCTTCTAAGTCCCAGGAGCCGGGGAAGAAGACAAAAGACACCAGCCCTTCTGCCCAGCCCCAGGGGCGGGGCTCCCAGGCTACCTTTGGCTCCGACTGCTTCTGCGCCTGCTCCTTGTGGCCGTCGGCCTTGGCTTCCAGGCCCGGCCCGCTCACCTCCTCTGGCTTCAGAGTGCCATACGGGGAGCTGCGCTGCGAGGAGGTCGCAGATGACTCTCGAGACTCGGCGCTCAGGTCAACGCCACTATCTCCCTGGCTGCTCTTAAAACCCTGCTGTGCGAGGCATAAAAGAGGTCAGAGTGCAACCTCTACTGCAGAGTGAGACCAAGACACATTTCCTGGCTGCCTGTGCCTTCCAGGGTCCTGTTCTGACAACTGGAGACACGCCAAATGCGCCAACCCAGCCCGAGACCGCAACCACAGGTTCGTGTGGGCCCTGGATGGAAACCGCCAAACTCACTGCACCCGTGAACCAAACCCGGCACGTGACCACCACCAGGCGTGGAGGAGAGGCCCTTAGTCACCGCACTACCCAGGGTAGGTCTTCCCTGGCCATCCTCTCCCTGCCTTCCCCCAACACAGGCACCTCCCGCTGAAAGAAAGCAAGACTGGAGACCAAGGCAGATGGCGAGCACACACTCACCACCTGGGCAGCTCGACAGCCACTCACCTCAGCAGAGCCAGGCTCAGCGCTGTTGAAGGCAGTGGCAGCTTTGGTCCAGGAGTCGCTGGTTGAGGCCTGAATGGGGAGGGCTGCCAGAGGAGGAAGACAGTCAGGGAATTGGAGGAGAACCACCAAGCTGGAAAATCAGCACAGACCCAAGCCCCCAGCCACCCTCCCTGCCGCCACCGTCCACACGCTAGCGCACAGCTCCGACACCCGGCGCTCAGCATCCTCAGACAGGTTTCAATCAAAGTGATCCTGTTCTTTCACCGACTATGTGCTCTACAGAACACACCGGCCACTTTTTATTGACACCTATTAGAATTCTGCATCACCACGCCTGCTGTGGTAAAGCTTTTTTCATTTATTTCTACAAGCTGGCATCTCTTCAAGTCTTTGAAAGATCTGAGCTGGTATCATGCAACTTTTGTTAGCTCACAGACCACCCTGAAAGTCCAACAAAAGCCACAGACCTTGTGTACATACACAAAGCCTCACATGCTATTTTAAGATCCAGAGGCCCTCTGAAGCCATCCACAGACCCCTGGTCTGAGCAACCAATTAGACACTGCAGAGTCCTGGAGGGAAAGGCAGTAACCAGGGGCGGCTCTTGAATTAGTCCCCTCTGCCTGACCAATCTGGCAGGAAGTACTTTCGGACATTTATACCATGACACCACCACTCACAAACTACCAAACTGAATGATATCAAAATGTTATTAAAAGATAATTGTATTTTCAGTCGGAGTTGACTATTTCCCAATGTTTCTGGCAATGTGTTGGATCCCAGGTTTTAACCAGCATGAGGATAGGCCACGTGGTAAAATGGATAGAATCAGAACCTTGGATCTTGGGTGTTTGCCCCATGGCTCTGGGGTCAAGTCACTTTACTCTGGAAGACTTCACTGCTTTCTATTAAAAGTTGGAAATGGATGGTTTCTCCAAGCCCCCCTTGTGCACCCTGCAGGCCCTGCCAAAAGCAGGCATTCAAGAAAAATCTGCTTAATTAAAATGGTTTTGTATTTTAAAATGCAAATTTACTGGAAAAATAGCATTGAATATGAAATTTTTTTTAAGTTCAGGGAAACACACTTTCCAAAAAGTAAGGGCCACCATGGTCTGGTCTCAAATCTTTCTAAGGGAGCACCTGGGAAGGGGCTGATAGAACCTTCCTCCTGGTGAGGGAAGGGCACAAAGCACAGACAAGAACACTCTGGGACTCCCGTTCTTCTTGGCAGTCGTCTGCTGCTTGGCCACAAGGTAAGAAGAAAGGGTAACTGACGTGGCAGAGAGTCGAGCCAACTCCCCAAGCAACTTCAGCTGGTGGAGTTGGGGGCTATCCTTTTCCGGATCAGTGGATATGGAATGGTCTGCTCTCCAAGAGATTTCAGGCAGGGACCACCTTCCATCTGTTCAGAGGCTGCAGCAGCACGTGGTGCTAAGGTGGCATCTAACACCCTGACTCAGCAAAGGAAGCCGGGAAACAGGTAAAGCTCGTCTACGCTCATGGCCCCAAAGCAGGATGTCCCGAGGAAGAGGCGGCCGTGGGCCGAGCAGCTGAGCCCAAACGCCCAACTCTTACCCTGGCTGCTGCTCTCCCAGATCTCGGTGCCCAGGCTACTGCCAGGCACAGTCCCATCGCCTTGCTCCAGGCACAGGTTGTTTTGCTTTTTAGCAAACCGAGGAGGGATACGAGAGGAAAGACCTCGACCTTTGACAGGTACCTAAGGAGAAAAAAGGAGATGTAGTCCAGCCTAGACGTCACACATGAAAGAGGACAAGTTCCTCCCCAGACCACCCCCCAAGAAAGTGCTCCAGAGATGCAGGAGCACCTGCCAGTCAAGACTTCGACCACCCCTGGAAAGGGGTCCCGGGCTGGGGAACTGCTCTGAACACCGACCACACAGGCAAGCATGCGGTACTCGGCCCTGACTTCATTTTGAGTACAGAGCGGCCAGCCCTCGTGATTCCTGGGGTGACAAGTCTTGTCCCACTCAGGCCGGAGCACAGTGGGAGGATGGACTTCAGAGCTGACAGAGGTCTGCATCCTGCTCAGCCCCCTTTCAGCTGGTTTCTCCCAGAACAAGTCACCTCTGAGAGCAGGGACAATACCATCTACTCCCACAGGACTACAGGGATAGCGGGCACCAGGAGCACCTGCTTAATAAAGGTGCTCTCCCTCCCCGAGCCTGGGCTTCCTATCCTCCCGGCTCCGGGCTCCCCTGCATCAGCCTGCCCTCCTGCCCGACTCCTGGGCCTGCACCCCATGTACCTGCACGGCTTGCTCTTTCTTTCTCCTCTCTTCCTCCAGCAGGCGGCGCTGTTTCTTGGTCAGGACTTCAATGAAGCCTTCTCCCACCATAGAGCCCACCTCACTCTCCTCCCCTGGGCTGGACCCGCAATTTTCAACGATGGCATCTGAACCAAGATTCGTAAGAAGGGACAATGTTTCCATTTATTGGAAACCAAGAATAACCCAACCTTACAGGCATCTAAGGATATCTAAGGTCAGACTCAGCTCAGAGGGCCGGGCAGCAGCTGGCTTGAGCCTCAGCGTATTCACCAGGGTCTGGGAAACCCAGCTGTGATTCCTACACCCTTTCTTTCACCCCACCCCCTACCCCGACACATTGTTAGCGCAAACCAAAGAGGCCCAACATTATGATTAAGAGGAGAGTCTTTGGAGACAGACACTTCAGTCTCAGCTCTGCTCCTAACCAGCTGTGTGACCGCTGACTAACCACTCAACCTCTCTGAGCCCTGGATTCCAGATCTTTAAAACTGGGACACAGCAGAACTATTATGGTTGCGAGCAACATGAGAGTGGGAATCCTATGTGTTTTGCTCTTAAGCCAGTACCTGCCTAGAGGCTGACATTCAGTGAAGGGCAAATTCAGCCACCCACGGAGCTGGTCATGGACCCCGGGTTTGCCTAGGTTCTTCCTGCCCTGCAGACGTGAGGTCAGACTCACTTCCATAGCTCAGGTCAAACTGTTTCATGGTCTCTCCCTGCTCGCCTGCCCTCTGAACAGTCAGCTTGGGCTCCTTCTCTGTCTTCTCACAGGAGGCTTCAGGGATGTCAGAGGTGGCATGGAGTGCCCTCTCCAGCGTGTAGTGGCCGCTCCCAGTGCTGCAGCCCAGGCCTCCAGGCAAGGCCTCTTCTGGGGACCTACAAAGGAAGGAGGCTCCTTTTAGCTCAGAAGTGGCGGAAGGTTAGGGAAGTAGAGAAAAGTTAAAACTGCATGTGCACACAGCATGCACACACAGCATGCACACCAACACAGCGCCCAATCCACATCCACTTCCTCCCACCATCCTCTTCACTCTGCAGGAGCTGCTCGCAGGGCAGCAGTGCAAGCCACACTGCTACAGCAAAGCCCACGGGAATGCTGCTCTCCCCAACCCCTGCCCAGCACTAGTACTTCTGTCCTTTCCCACCGTGTGCCAGACTTAGCAGGACCACAGAAAGAAAGAAGGGGAATGCTTAGAACAGGGTCCAGAACCTTCTACTCCTCTCACGAGACTGACCATCAAGGACCCCAAGCCTTGCCCTACTGACACCCTCTTGGGGCAGAAATCAGAAGCAAAGCCAAGTCTTGGCATCTGGGGCCTAGAACCTAGACTAGACCAACCCCTGAAGGAATCTACACTCCCCAGTGGCTCCTTCTCTGCAGGTGGATTAATTACAGCCCAGGCTCCTTCCTGTGCCCTGAGTTCTAAGGGGGGCAGGAGGTAGGAAACAGCCTTCCTCGGCACACTGGGGCATGGCCTGTGCCTGATCAGGAATGTGGGCTGCACGGAGTCTCCCGTTCTCTGACTCTGGGGCACCCTTGGACAATGAGCACAGACCATCCACCTCAAAGCCTCTCGTTCCTGAAGAGATGCTCACTGGGCCTCTGACGGCCCACCCACTCTGGTTCCTGCCTGCCTCTCATCAGGCCGAGGTGGCAATCCCCGAAGCGGTGCTGTGTCTCCTCACTGTGTCAAGAAGCAGAGCCACTCGGGGCAGAGCCACCTCTGCGGGGCCAGAAGGCCAGCAAAGCCCGTCCAGCAGCCCCGAGCAAAGGAGCGTGGTGAGCTGACCGGTGCTCACCGGCTGCCACGCACAGATCCTGCCCCCTCACTGCGGCAGCCCCTCAGCCGGACTCCAAGGAAACACGTGGAGGATGAACTCTGGAGACAGGTGCTGGGACAGGCACCATATGGGGACCACCGGAAGGTGGGGGGGGGGTCTAGTTCTGGTTATGAAGCCACAATGACAACAACACGCCACAAGAGAAGCAGACAGCAAGCAAGAGCAAGTGGTGGAGACGCTCAGACAAGGGGCTGGGTGGGCGGCTGCCCTCCGGGAGCACAACGAGCGGGAAATAGCCAGGTGCACCTGACACACGGTGGGACATGCATGCAGGACGTGCTGCTGGAAGAACCAACTTCGTAACAGAACAGCAACAAAACAGAACCTGGGATTTTGTTTTTGTTTTACCTTTTGGCTTTCAAAGGCGTCCCACTCTGTTGGCTCTCATAACGGGGAGAAGTTTCACCACCACCTGGCCTAACAGCCTTCTCCCCAAACCCTCCCGGCTCCAGCTTTCGGCTCTGTCTGTCAACCAGGGGTCTCTGACTGGAGAAGCTCCTCTTGGCCAACTCCTTCTTCTCGCCCAAACCTGCCCCAGGCAGGCTGCCGTCCACCTGGGGGTCGGGCTCGGGGCCGTCTCGCCGTTCCCGTCGCTCGCTGAAGTCGCTGCTCTCGGAGGCCGTCTCCCACTCCTCATTGGCTGGATCGGAGGAATTCTGGTATGAGAGCTCAGGGGACCTGCGGCCCACAGCACCACCCTTGTCCCCAGGACACAGCCTGGGCCGGCCTGGCCACGGGCCAGCCAGCAGAGGGGGCTCCTCCTCTGGCCCCCATAGGCCCAGGGATTCTCGCTCCTGCCGGAGGCGCCGGAAGCGAGGTGGTTTGTCCTGGCGTGGGGGCCGCCTTCTCCTGAAGGGCCGGTTCTCGGCGTTCTCAGAGTCTGCCGTGTGGTCATCTTGAAAGAAGGACCTCTTGTCCTCCACGCGGCTGTCCTCAAAGGCCCGCGCGCCCAGCGCATCTGAGTGTCTGTAGGTGTCCGGGATAAGATCTCGGTCTGGGGGCCGCCGGGCCCCGCAGGCGTCGGGAGGGCCGTACTCCTGCCGGGAGGCAGCCAGGCTCTTGCCCTGCCAGTGGGTGGGGTCCCTGGACATGAAGGTTCTCCGACCATATGCGCAATTGCTCAGCCGCGGCGGAAGGGCTCGCCCAAAGGCCCGAGGGCCTCGGTTCTTGGCATCCAGTCCACCATGGTCCTCGGGGTACACCCTGCTGGACCGCCAGGACTCTCTGAAGTCGCCTTTCCTCGAGGCGCCCTCCTCCCTCTCAGGGAGTGGGCCTTCGTCCCCGGGCTCCGCGCCCCTCTGCCGCCGCCGCTTGGGAAGCTCTTCGTACTCGGAGCCCTCACTGTGGGTCTCGCTGGCGATCCTCCGCCGGGGCTTGGCCCGAGGGAAGTCCTCCGGCTGACCGAACTCCCGCAGTCCCCGGCCTCGGCCACTTCTCTGGCTGCTGCTGTAGATGCCTCGTGCCCCGAGAACCCCCCCACTGCAGAGGCCGCCGGCAGGCCGCCCGCGGAAGGTGAACTCTCTGAAACCGCGGCCACGGGTCCGCACCTGCCCTCGGCCCCCAAAGGCTTGCTCCTCGTCAATAAAGATCCAGTTATTCCTCTTTGTCGGGGGGGTGTCGCTGGACTCTCGGGAGGGTCTGGTCTCCCAGGCCCTGTCGGGCTTCTCATCCTCCTCGCGCTTGCTGGCCTCGTGGCCCAAACCAGCGTGGGCAGAGCCCAGGTCCTCTGGGGGGGCGGGGCCCGAGTTGGCCAGTGCTGGGTCGTTCTCTTGGTCCTCGTTCTCTGCCATCTGACGGACGGGCCCCTTCTCCTGGGCCAGGTGGACACTCCCTTCTCCTGGCTCCTGCTTCATCTTCTCGAGTTCCTTCTCCTTGTCTTCCACCTTGAGGGCTTTCAGGACAGGTTTCTTGATGGGCCCCGACCTCCGGGCCCTGCTGGTCTGCTCCTGGTGCTGGCTGCCAGAGCCCCGGGGTTCCGGTGTCCACTCGGGCTCCAGGGATGGCTGTTTGTTGGGGCTCCCTTCCTTCTCCCAGGAGGAGACGCTAAAGGATGGCTCCTCCCGGGGCGCCTCCTTCTCAGCAGCGGTGGCTGTGTCAGCGGCCTTTGGCTGGTGGCTAATGTCCCAACTGCTATACTCTGGTTTTTTCTCAGCAGGGGAAAAGTCGGGCTCCAAGGGGGAACACCTGAGGTTTGGGGTGTGACTCCCAGGAGCACCTGCTTCCTGAACATTTTCTTGGGATGGAAACAAAAGCTCCTGGCCTATTCTTTGAGAAGAGACACAGCTGTCAAAGTCTGCGGGGGCCTTCTTGTCAAAAGCACTCAAGTACTCCTCCCCTCTCTCCTCAAGGAGATCTCGCTGGGCACTTACGCCCCCTGACCTTCCGGGTGAGGCAGAGTAAGAGCTTTCATTCCTGAAAAGGAACCAGAAAAATCAGTCAATGTGATTGGAGCCTGGTTCCTTGTTTCCATGCTGAACACAGTTTAGTTTTAAAAAGGAAAAAAAATTTTAAAGAAAAAAACCATAAGCACCAACATTTGCTCTATCTGTAAACAGGTCTCAGAGATGCTGGGCCGTGGGCTGGTGGTGGCCCTGGAGTCCAGAGAGCTGAAGAACTCAGTGGCTGCTGGTGGACTCAGCCTGCCACCCTGGAGACAGCGAGCAGCTGGGGATCCTGGTTCAAACAAGCTGGAGCCGGGGAGTCCGCGGAGAGTCTGGCACGGGGCCAGCAGGGCCAGCTTGCTTTACTTCACTTTCACAGGAAGGAGCCGTGACCCACGCACTCGGCCCCACCTGCCCTGTGAGGCCCCACCCCTTGCCCCAGCCCAAGGTTCCACAGGGTGTGCCTGCAGCCGCAGGATTTCTCCTTGGCCTCCAGTCCCACCTTCAGCGTCTCTCACACAAAAGCATCAAGCAATCCTCACACTCTCCCTTCCCCAGACGGCACTGCAGCCCCTCCAAAGACGCCCTTTCCCCGGGGCAGCGTCTCCTGGGATAGTGCCTCTTCCCAGAGCCCTGTCTCAATTAGGACCTGGAGAGTCGTCCTTCAGCAGCAGGTCAGTAGGACCAAGTTTCGTCTCACCTGACATGCACGTCCATGGCCAAAGTGTCGTTGGATTTCGGGTGGGGGAGCGAGTAGCCCTTGCTCTGCAACGCCATGTAGCCCTCGGGGCCCCACACAGGGGCTGGATCGATGGCAGTCACCTTCCTTTCCTGCAGTGGGGGCACACAGCTCTGGTCCTCAGAGCGACAGCCAGTCCCACCGAGGGGATCTTGGGGCATCATGGGTTTCATCAATCCTGGAGAAGGCAGAGAACCGATCTGTCACCTCGTTCAGAAAGCCATGGGCCAACCACAGGCCCAAAGGAGACAAGTTACTCCAACTACCAATCACATGGACACAGCACCCCACCTGCTCTACCTCACTGGGGTCTCATCTTTCCGCTCACAGAACCTCTGAAGGCACCCACGCAAGCAACCCAAAAGGCCTGCTGGAAGACCTGTGAGGTTTAGCCTTAGTTCCTGGGTGAAGAGCCCCGGGGTGGGGGAAGGGTATACAGAACTGGCAAACAGAAACAGGGAACAGCAGACTGCACAGCTCACAGATGACGGCAGAGGGTTAGAGGGGCCAGTCAGTCAGCAACGGGAGAGGCCGGAAGGGTCCCTGCACAGACAGGTGAAGATGAGCTACCCGCCAGGAGCCCACACGGGATAAGCAGCCGGCATCCACCTGCTTCCAAACGCCAGCAAGAAGATGCAGGAAGGGATTTGGGCTTTAGTTCCTTTTATTTCTAACCCTAAGGTTGGCAGTAACTCTCACATTTTGTACAGGGAATACACAAATGACAATGAACTGTTCACTGGCCAAAGAAGCTGAGGATAAAGCTGACATCTGGGTCCTACCAGATATAAACTAGCCGGGAAGCGGCGCCCCCAACCCAGGGCCTCTGCCCGTGTCTGTTACACTAGCGGCTGGGTTGGTGCAGACGATGTTAAAGGTGTCTCTCACTGGGCCAAAGTCTGCAGGGAAAAGATCTGATTTTTCAAATATTTTCTTTACAAAGCTAATTATTAGCCAAAAATTGTGTTGTGCTGTCTTTTAAGCTGAGATAATCTGACCAGGAAAATGTTTCTGTATCAGGCCAGTAGTTTTAAGCTTCCTTTTAGCTATGGAGCGCTCTGTTTAACTGCCATCGGTACCTGAGTCCAACACAAAGTTAGTCTGAATCAAGTGGTGGTGGGGATCCTCTCTGGAATCCTAAAACTACACACCATTCATTAAGTATTGGTCACGAGGTGGGTGGAACTACTCAGCACTGTACAAGCAATGTGGCAGCTCATGTTACCTGAAAACACCTGTCACAGAAGTGCTGGAGAGAGTATGTTAAACATCTCATGTGCAGAGCTGCGTCTCCCCCCTCAAGAATGGGAAACCGCCAGGGAGCTAAAACCACAAGCCATGGGCCCGGAGCTAGTGCTTCGCACAGGGGAGCCAGGGACACTGCCGTCAGCCTTGGTAGCCTCAGGGCTTGGTGCTACATGCCCTCACAGGACAGGAGACGGGGCTCTCTGCATAAAGCAGAGAGCTGTAGCTGAGATGTTGCTTAGAACAAAGACCCCTCAAAGGGTTGTGCCCTCAATTAAAAGGTAGATCAGAAAAATACACGCTCTTTAGTACAGGGAGGGGACTGAGCTTTTGTCTTGGCCTGGGCCAAGGTAAGGAAAATAGTCCTTCGCTAGTAATTCATAGCCACATGCCAGCTTGCATGCAGGTGGAGGGTGGGGGTGGGGGTATGATTCAGATTTATGCCTAGAATGCTCCAGAAACCATCCAAGTTAAAATAAAGGATGGTTCTAGGCTACAGAAAACATTAAACCACACTGGAGGGATATACTCTCAAATCAAGTCATACTGGATCCTCACGATTAATGAAACTGTTTAAAATGGAACTGCAATCTAAAATTACCAGAACGTGCATGGAAAGCAACCCTCCAGGAGTCTGTGGTGAGTCCACAGGATTACACACCTTCCCCAAGAACTTCAGATGACAAATGAAAATGTTAAACACTAGAAAGTTATGTTTCAAATGATTAAAAGCATAAAAGAAAGAATTAAAACTTAAGAAAAACATAGATATAAGAAAAACGGATTTGAGGGAAAATTCTAGTAATAAAACTATAATGACTGAAATAAAAAACTCACTGGACAGTGAAAAAGAACAGACTAGACACAGCTGAAGAGAAAACTGAACTGGAAGATAGTTCTGAAGCATTTTCCCAGAAGACACCACAGAGAAAACCTCTCTTACGTATTTAAGAGACTTGGAAGCCAGAATGAGAAGGCACAAAATAATCTAAGTGGGAGTCCTATGAAGAAATGATACAAAGAATGAATGAGGAGGAAGAAGGCAAAGTTTATTGTGATAATTAGAAAAGAATTTTCCAGAAGCAATGAAAGACATACATCCTTAGATTCAAGCACTGTGAATTCTAAGCGGAATAAAGTGAGGAAAGACACAGATATGCACCGAGACACAGCACGGTGAGAAAGCACTGCGGGAGACTGAAGACAAGGAGAAGACCCCAACAGCAGCCAGAAAGGAGACTGCAGACCACCCAGACACAAATACGACACAGGAGCCAGAAAAAAAGGAGTGCCATCTTCACAGCACTCAAAAAAAAAGTAACTGCCAGCCCAGAATTCTATTCCCAGTGATGCTATTTCAAGAGAAAGGGTGACGTAAAGACTTTTTCAGGCAAAATGATTTTCTACTGCCAAAAGATCTTCCTAAAGAACCTGACGGAGTGTGCTTCATGAAGAAGATGTGGAATCCAGGTGGGAGGAAGAAGCTGGAAGGGAAAGCAGTAAACATGCAGGCAGATCTGAACGAGCACAGACTGAATAAACAAGGATGATAAGGAAGCACTAAAACTCCAGGCAAAGGCAACAAGACTGATGAGGAGGTAGTCAGAGCTCAGGTTCAGGGTACATGGATCGGTTCACCTTTGCCAAGTCAACGGTGCGGGTTAGAATTCAGTGTAACCACTCACACAGTAGAAAGAAAACGCAGAAGGAAAATAAGCAGAAACAGGAAATCTTGACGCCAAAAAAGGAAGAAAAAGAAAAGCAAAGAAAGAGGGATAAAAAGAAAGCATGAAATAGGACAACAGGAAATCTGAATGTAATGATTCCAGTAAATCTAAAGAGACCAACGTTAGCAATTTAAGTCACAGATCTTCAAAGTGGGTAAAACCACACACAACTCGTATACACAAAGATATGCTCCCCCAGAAAGAACTCAGGCTGATGGCAAAAAGCTGGGGGGAAAAGAAACCATGTAAATACGAGTCAAAAGAAATCTAGAATGATGATGTTACCCCCAAGCACACACTGAGGGTAGAAAGCACAGCGAGTGGTAACGAGGGAGCCACAAAAAGCTGAAAGCAGCAGCTGCAGTAATTCCAAGCCTGCACTCGAGTCCAGATAGACAAAGCAAAAACCTGACAGCGTCACAAGATTTGACAAATCCACAGTCATGGTGGGAAATGTTCACACACCTCGTAGTAACTGATCAAGGGGATACATCATAACGTTACAGATATTCACACAGCACAATTAGCAAGCACAACTGAATGGACCACATCCAATTAGAGAACACATTATTTTCAAGCAAACAGAATGATTTAAAAAAGAAAAAAGGGCCACGTAACAGCCTACAAAGAAAATCTCAATGAGTGTCAAGCAATCTAGAGGGGGGGTTGGCTGGCACACTTACAGCCCTTGAGTGAAACTGGATCGGCCACCTGGTTTTAAAAATAAAGCTTTACAGGAAAGTGAAGGCTCCATGTCCATTCACTCACTACTGTCCACAGCTATTTTGTTCTAGAACAGCAAAGCTAAGCAGCAGCTCAAAGCCTAGAATTTTTATTATCGGGCATTAATAGAAAACGTCTGTGACTCCTGATCTATATCATATAGACCTTATTATCTGATCAGAAGGCAGCCACACTAGAAATTAACCTTAAAGATAGTCTTCAAACTCTGTATTTGGAAAACTTACATCATTAAAAATCATCACTCAAAACAGATAAATCAAAAGCAGACCAACATATAATAGGAATAATAGGAATGTTTCATCTTAATACTCATAGGAGCTCTTAGCTCAGGTGAGATTTAAATACATCAGGAAAGCCAGAAATTTATGAGCTAAATAAGCATCCAACGTAATTAGTCAGAATAAGAACAAAGTAATTTCAGTGGAAATAATGAGGGGGGAAAAAGCAGAAATTAATGAAACAAAAGCCAAAAAAAAGGGGACTTAAGAAACCCAAATGATACTTTTAAAAAATGGCATTAGATAAACCTTGGGAAAGGCTAGTCAAGGGGAAAAAGAAAGCACAAAAACATTAAAAATGGAAAGAGGGACAAAATGACACAGAAAAGACAGAAAAATTAGTTAAAGCCATTTACAAGGCATGATCTTAGGAAGGCCTCTTCCTGACAGTTCTCTGTGACAGGTACTATTATCACACTCTCATTCTGCAAACAAATAAGTTAAAACTCAGACTGGTCACGTGACTTGCAAAGAGGCCAGACTGGACTCCAGGTGGGTCTGTCTACCTCACGAGGCAACGCCCTCCAATGCCACACTATCATGGGCTCCCAGGTAAGGCCCCTAGACCATGATGCTTACCCGAGGGGTGCAGGGCTGAGGGATAGAAGTCCACTGGGGTCCGGGTGGGCGTGATCCGGGGGTCCATGTAGGAAGGCATCATCATCCACCTGGGATCGAAGCCCAGCATCTGGGGGTGGTGCGGGTAGAAGGTGCGCTGTGGGTGCGAAGGCGGAGGAGGGTACACCGGCTGCCAGTGCTGCATCTTGTACAGCTGCTCCTGACCAGGGGGAGAGAGACCAGGTTGGACAGATGCTGGGGGGTGAAGAGGCCGCACACAAATGCACGTACACACACGCACACGTGCACAAGCACATGCACACAAACATGTGCACACGCACACACAGGCTCTTCAGCTTTCCCCCAGGTGGCACAGACAGCCCACCCAGAACAGATGGGCAAAGAGGGGAGGGAGGAGCAGCTGCTCCGAGGGGAGACCCCAGCATATTACAGCACTCAGGCTCTCTCCCAAGCCTCTCCCAAGCCGGATGGAAGCCACGCCCTGGGCTCCTCTGCCACACAAGAGAGACGGGGTTTCATTAAGACCCAATACTCACCTGGAACGGCGCCTGGCCAGAACGGCACCCAGGGACGCCCCCTTCCCCTCACCACACTGTCCCTTCAGTCCACTCTCCACACTCAGACGCCCTGACCAGGTCAAAATCCTTCAGCTAACAGCCCGAATCCCACAGGGGTACACGTGACCGACAGGGCCCGCGGCTCCTGCCCGCCCCCTTGCCCCCGACCTGCCTCTCTAGCAATGCCCCCACAACCGCCCTGGCTCTCCGCTCCATATTCCTGCCCGCCTGCCTGCTTTGGGCCCTCCGTCCCTCCATCCCCAAACCTGCTCACCCATACCCATGCTTTAGGTTTCAGCCTAACGAGCACTTCCTCTGGGAAGTTGGGTTCACAACTCTGAACCCAAGGTCAGGCCCCTGTCCTCTGATCTCCTTTGTACCATCAGCAACAGGTAACGCTGCTGCTGCCGGTTTCCCTCCCTAAACCACGAGACCGACGTGAGTTCCCCGCAGCATCCGCATCTCTACCACCAGACCTGGTGCAGAAAATGTTGGTGCCCAAAAGAACGAATGTAAAGCATCAACAGAGAATTAAAAATTAAGAACCTGGACCCAGTGAGGGGTCACCTCAGATCCTGTTCCAGGGCACCAGTGACCTCCAGGGCTGCCCTCACAAGTGCGTCCTGGACCACCATTCTGGCAGGACTCGTGGCAGACTCAGACAAGGGTGGGTCACTGACCTGCACACCCCTTCCTACCAGCCTGCTAGCCCAACTCCAGCCTGGGCCGAATTCCCTGGGCAGTTCGCCGGCACTCACAGCACCTCTTAGGAGCACTCAGCCCTCGATAAATAAGAGCTCCTGGCCCACACAGGAGGCTGCGGGCCTCTGCCCACAGCTCCTCCTCCTGTCTAGACCCCAAGTCCCTGGGGAATCCGAACAGACAGTCTGTTTGCCAGGCTCCTCAGGCTACACTGGCATGTTCAGACTTCTTTCTATTCATGAGGAAGGATTTACCCGTCACTGCGCCCCAGAAGTTACCTAGAACAATTGTTCCTACTGTGTCTGGCTTGATTTACTCCAGACCTCCCCAGTCAATCAGGAATTCTTCATCAAGCCCATAAGTAACTAAAGCACAATGAATGTAACTTCCTGTTGAGAGCACAGAATGTGGTCAGCTTCTGGAATGCTTCCTAGGGGCCCAAGGAAAGGAGGATCTGGGGTAAAGGTTTTAAAGGCAACTAAAGAGATTCTGGGAAACGGTCTGAGATGTTGATGTGTTTCCTAGGGCACCCATGTTTTAAAACACTTCGATTACTAACAATAATTTACTGCACACCTAGCTAAGCACGTCCATGCATGATCTGTTTCCCACTGAGACGCACTGTTCATTAGCAGTCAGCTCTTCCATGGGTCACTCCTCTAAGACAAATAATTATTATGGGTGGTTCCAGCTGGGCAAGATGACCAGGACTACAAGAGACCGCTATGATTACCACGACCCACACAGTCTTCCTCAGAGCAAAAAGTAGGTCCTTTCTAAGATTTATGAATCACCAATAAAGAAGACCCTGATTGTACAGGCAAGTCAGTTCACAGGCATCATTAAACCCTGATCGTCACGCTGAGAGGCAGGTGTTCATTCCCGCTGCTTGACACTGACCTGTCCAAGGTCACACCTGACTAGGTAAGCTGCACCAGACTCCACAGCCATCCAACTCAAAACCTACAGCCCACCTCCCTGACCCAAGGCTAACATGGCTCTTTCTGAAGCTCTCCCAGCAGCTCAGGCCTTCCCCAGTCCTTGGGAGGCTCCCAGGACAGGGCCATTGTCAGTGTGAGGAGTGGCCACGTTGTAGGGCTCTGAATGAAAAAACGACTTAGACACCATTAACTCACTCTTCCTTACCAGTATTAGACAACAGGGTCCCTAAACTACCAACGAGGGTTTTCATTCAAAGGAGAAATTACTTGGAAGAATTAATGGCCAGGGCTGACTTCCCAAGGCCCCAAGTTTTGAGGCAGAATTCCTGATATCCCTGCTGGTGACCAGGATACACAAGAGCAGCCTTTTGCAGTGGGTTCTCCTCGAAGGCGGTGTGCGGAGGAGAGGGGACGCCTGCTCAGGGGCAGGTCTGCTGACAACACCTAACATGCCCTGTTCACCTGCTGCTGCTGCTGCTGCTGCTGCTGCTGCTGCTGCTGCTGCTGCTGCTGCTGCTGCTGCTGGCGCTGAAATCGGGGAGGAAGGGACTTCTGGTACTTGCTGAATTCCTGTGCAGGGGATCCAGCCTCCCTGGCCCCCTCCTCACTGCTGCCGCTCTGAGCCACAGCTGGAGGAGCTGTGGGAGCTTCTTCCGAAAACATGTTGGGGGCTTCGTGGGCAGGGAACTCAGGGGAGCCTAAGGAACAAAGAAGAAGAGAAACTGCCAAGTGAGTCCACAAAAGCTTGGCCGACCTAATGTTTAACAGCAAATGCTTTTTCTCGGTGGCACTTACATTCCACGGCTAGACCCCCATCCTCAACCCCTGGTGCTGTGCTAACTGCTCTCCACACACAAGCTCACGGGGTCCCCAGCTCATCCTCACGTGAGAGACCAGCACACTAAGGGCCGAGAGATGGGGTGGGCCGCCTGAGGCCACACCATCAGCAGAGTGGGGACCTGGCTCCAGACGGGAGCGGCTCTGCTAGAACAGACCCCAGGAAACAGGAGAGCAGCCATCAGCCACTAGAGTCCACACACCCATCCTCCGGCCACCAGAATCAGCACAGCCCACGGCTGTGTGAGCCGGGGCAGCCCGCGAGCCTCTCCTGGCACATTCCTTCATCTGTGAGTGAGGAGAACAGGCGCGCCCGCCCCAGGGCTTCTGGGACAATCGAGCAGAACAGTCCATGGGACGGACTGAAACAGCAGCTGGCGCGTAGTGAAAGCTCAACCCAATCTCCCATCACTGTTCTCTTTGGAATTCCCTTCTTTCTTGCCCCATCCCAGCTCTGCACTCTTCTTGTTTTTTTTTTCAGCTTTGTTGAGGAGTAATTGACATTCGTGTTCTTAATTTTACTGCAGAAGGCAAACAAATGTCGAGGCGAAGCCCCAGGGACCCAGCGTCCCGGGGGAATACTGACAGGCAGGGAGGGTACAGAGGGGCTTGGGGCACACACAACACCCAGGCCCTCCAGCGGACCAGCACCCACGGCCCACACTCACACCCCAGTCCACTGCCCGGACTCCCACTGCCCCACCTCGGCGAGTCCTGCATGGACAGGACATTTACAGAAGGACAATGATCATTTCTCTGAGTTCCTTGGCCTGAAGGGTGCTGATGACCATCAGACCAAGAGCAATTCCTCCATCTGAGAAGTTTCAGCACCTGAAACTAACATCAGGTCCTTCTCTACTGAAGAAAGTTGGTTTCAGTTGATTTGAGAAAGTCACCAAGAACATATTCTTTAAGACTAACGTCCAAAGACACCCTCCATCATGTAACAGTGTTCAACATCGCTTGTGCAGCCGAGCGATGCAGTCCTTCTAGAATAACATCAGGAGAAACGTATTCTTCCCTCCCCGTCATGAACAAGATCCTGTGCTCATGCTCAGGTCCTCGAGCTCCTGCATCTCTGGTTGAGTAGCAGCAGCAGTGATGGAAAACCTGGTGACACCACCGAATGCTCTCCGCACCCGGGAACGTGCCAAGTGCTCACATCTCCTGCGGCCCCTCAGGATGCGGGGAGGCATGTGCTGTCGCCACCCTGCGTCACAGGTGAGCAAACATGCTCCAGAGAGGTGCGGCTGAAGCCAGTGGGTTGAAGTAGTTGGAACAGGACGTGAACCCAGGCCCCTGACCCAGGCCCAAACTCTTAACGACTGGGGCTTCCCAGCATCACCCAGCTGTAAGACACAGGGAGACGCAGACAACCACCAGTGAAAACAGCCCAGGGCCTGCAGACTGTGGGACGAGGGCCCACCGCTTACCTTTGCGGACAGCAGGGCCATTCTCCTGTGTAGGCACTTTCTCGATGCCTGGAGAGCGGGGAACCTCCTTCTCCACCTGTTTCTGGGCCTCGCTCGCCTTCTGCGCCTGCTTACACTTCTGGTCCAGCTGCTTGAGTTTGGCAGCACAGGCGGCCAACCGCTCCTCCCGGGCCCGGCGCTCCTCCTCTTCCCGGCGCTTTCGGGCTCGTTCCACAGCCTCAGACATCTCTGACTGGATGAACTTCTGCCGCGGCGGCGGCTTGTCCTCTTTGTCTTCTACAGACTGCTGCCGGAACATGCTGCCTATGGAGGACTTCTGCCAGGAGAAGAAAGCCTCAGCTGAAGCGCATATCACAAACCCGGAGAAGGGCCCACCCCCAGGGTGGGATCAGCGCTCCTTCCCAAGACCCTTGAGCACAGTCACATGCTGCCAGACCCGGGTTTTACTCCTGCTCTGCCCTTTCCTGTATGCGGAATGAGGTTTGGGCAAGCGGCCACGTTCTATAACTTAGTTTCTCACTTGTAAACTGTGGACAATACAGGAAGCCCTTGGGACTGTGAGAAGGCAATAAACTGTTTGCAAAGCACTCAGTGCCAGGACGTACACCTAGGTCACTCCCGGGTAATGGACGCTCTGACCACTACTCATGGGCACAGCAGACTGAGCCTCCAGAGCTAAAGAACAGAGTGGGAAACCACACCCCCAGCATTTCTCAGCCATAAAACTGCTCTACACTTTCTCCCATGAAAATACATAAACTCGGGTCACGATGAGCCAGAAACTGAAATTCATACTCAGAAATAAGGTTTCAAGGTGATTCTTTATATATAAAAGCATCTCTAGAAACATCTCTTGAATATTTTACCCGCTTTTGAGACTCTCCCTGGTTGCCAGTTACTGGACAACCACCAGGGTGCAAAAGATGCAGCATGAAAAACTCTCAAAACTGGGAAGACTTCTCACTGATCCGCAGGAAGCGAAGCTACATGCAGAATATGTAACAGTACAAATGATGGGCAAGTTTAACTGAATGCCAGCCACTAAAATTCCAGTGAGACTCGATTAGAAAAAACATGTAACTTCCTGTTTTGCAGTTACACAGATGTACATAACTGTCAAAAGTCATTAGACATGAAAAAATCAAGATCTATGCCCTTTTCTTGTATGTCAATTACACCTCCATAAAAGTACTATGTAACAGAGTGACTGTAGTTAACGAGTTTTCTCCTAAAAATTAACTTCTCATAATCCAGAGACAATTACTACAATCGTAAAGGATTATACATTTCTAATTTAGAAGCATGAAGGTACTTTTTACGTAATACAATTGGAACCAAAGTGTGCCCTCTTCCCCCACTTTGTCCTTGAGCACTAACACCTGTCTGTGCTCTGTAATGGCTGTGAGCTGTCTCACTGCATGGCTGATACCAGTTTACCTTACCCCCTGGTGTTCAGTACATACCAACCTTCATGTGTATCCCTGACTACTTTCCTCAGAATTTCCCAGAAATGAAACAGCAGAATCAAAGGATATGTGTACATCATCAAGAGTATAGATGCGCCCTTCCAAACTTGCCCCCAAATTAGCCATCATTTTATAAACTAAATGTTCTGCAAAACACTTGAACTGTGACAATCTTTCCAGAAATCTGGATGCATAAAATTATACAGACTTTATCTTTGTTGGCTCTATTCAGTTAATTCAGTGCTGTTATCAGCAGCTCACAGTGAGACCTCCTTTTGAATACCAAGCAACCCCAATATATGAATGAAATTGAGATTAACTGCAAGGTGATCTCCAGGAGTCGTATGTGTCTATTTTGTTTCACTTCTGTGTCTCCTGAGCCTAGCACAGTGCCTAGCACATAGTATGAACTCAGTAAAAAAAAGACTGAAGGTAAAGGGCATTTTCATTTTATACGAAGATGTGGAACAGGGGGGGTTTTAAATAGCAAAGTGAATTGAATATGCCAGATTTTGCCAGGTGTATTTAAATTACATCTACCCACCCCCTGCTTTGGCCCTCCTGCTGAATTCAGTCCCAGAGTCATGAGATGTGGCAGAACAAGGCAGGCACCTGGTGCCAGGGAGTCACGACAGCTCAGGACAGGTGGTTGGAGCCCAGGCAGGTGAGGAGGCTGTCAACATGGAGACGTGGCTGCTGTGGGCGTTGAAGCCCAATCAAGCTGAGTGAGACAGGAATTCCTAAGGAGAGGTGGCCCACCAGAGAAATTCAGGGCTTCCATGTTGGGGGCACTGACATCTGAGTGGCTGAGGAGGGCATGTGTGCAAGGGAGAAAGAGAGGTGGTGGAAATAGGGAGACTGACCAAATCAGTGCAAATTTTACGGACCATAGGAGACAGATATCTCACTGTTGAAGGAGCCACAAACATGCAATGGGAGAAAACTAGAATGGATTCTGTGGAACTGGAGATATTACTCTGTTATACTCTGTGTATCAGAGACTTATATTCCCTAACTCTGTCCACAGAGAGGGCCCAGGAGCAACGACACCTCAACAGCGGTGAGCACACTTGTGCTCATACTGGTTTCTAAACATCATGAAGCCTGATTCTAGGGCCAAGGCAGGGTAAGGACAAAGTAAGCTTGGAAAAGCTTGTTCCATCACAAAGCAAGGAATTCCTCAAAAAAGGATGAAGACACGTAAAGAAGGACATAGCCGTCAGCTTGAAGAGGCTCCCGAAAGCCAAACCAGAGACAATCTGAACTTCAAAACAATGAGAGTAACAGATTATAACCCACTGATACATATCTATTCATATACATACATATACATACATATATATATATATATATTTTCAAAGTGTGATGAGACGTGGGATATTCATGGTCTCAAAGTAACTCTCCACAAAATTTCTATCAATTACAGATCAGGAAGAGTGTGTGAATGTGAAAATTCCATGGTGAGACACTTGGCAGACACCACTTCAATCAAATGACCCAAGTGAAGGTGACCAGAGCAGGCAGAGCGGAATCATGGTCACCCAGCAGGATGCAGCAAGAAGAGTCGGTGCCATTTCCAAGATTCCAGCCAAAAAAAGGGAAACCTTAAACTTAATCATGAGGAAGCACGAGGTAAACTCAATTTGAGGTGAATTCCACAAAATAACTGACCATGATCTTCAGAAGTGTCAACATCATGAAAGTGTAATAAAGGCTAACGAGCTGCTCCAGACCGAGGGGAACTAAAGAGCAAAGAGCAGGACAACCGAGGCAGCATGAAACTCTGACTTGGACTCTCTGGTGTGAAGAACACCGACGGGACAATGGGCAAGAGCAGGATGGGGTCTGGGGACTAGATGGCGGGGATGTATCCGTGCTAATTTCCTGGGTTTGACTGTGGCCACCAAGCGGGAATGTCATCTCTCGGGGGGAAGTAGATACCAAAGTGTTCTGCAGTGACAGGGCCTGATCAGGCTAGCAATGTACTCTTCAGATGGTTCCGAAAAAAAATATTCTTTCTGTTGCGCTCCCAACTTTTCTGTAAGGCTGTGACTGTCTCGAAATTTTAAAAGAAATGTTTTAAGTTTAAAAAAGAGAAAGAGCAAGAAATGTCCACCTAGATTTTCTCAGAAACCTGGCAACTGAGCTCAGTGAAACAGGAAGGCTCAGAACAGCCAACTAGGCGACCTGCTGGAGTCTCTGCCTTGGAACTCTGGTCAAATGAACGTGAAAGAGCTTGTGTGCGTGTGTGTATACATGGGTGTCCCAGCTAACCACAGGCACAGACCCCCTCCAGCGCCCACGGTACCTGGTAGTCAGGGCTTGACGCCCAGCTGTGAAGCTTCCTGGAAGGCGGCTGAGGTTCTGGCACCTTCCGGACGACACGGCTCATGCCTACTGTCTCACCCCAGTCCTTCCCTTCCTCTTGGGTGCGCTTGGCATCAGCACTGTCTGCAGAGCTCATTGACAACTGCCGCTGCCGCCTGGGGTCCCAGCTGTTCCTAGGACAAATCGCACGGAGGGTTAGTTTTTCTAGTCGGCCCAAGCATGGTCTGATCTTACCAGTCAGGCCCTCGGGAGTTCCACAGTCAGCTGTCTAACAGTATCAGTTTCCTTCACGAGATCAGACCTACCCTTCACCCCCTTTACAGGTGAGAGGACACGCCCAGAGCACCAAAATCAGCACCAAAGTTTACCAAGTCAGTCTTACACACACAGCTCCAGGCAGGATGGCTCACATTCATTACTCCACTTACTGCAGAAAGAGTCTTTACTCCCTCTGTTTTAAAGAGTTGGTAACTGAGTCTGAGAGATTGGAGAGCTATTTTCACAAGGAAGAGCTAAGACTCGAATCTGCGACCCAGATGAAGGCCCTTCTCCCTGTATTCTACCTCCTTCCCTATGCTTTGCATAAAGGATGTGCTTAACAAATGATGCATTAAGGGTAAGAGGTGCAAGGCAAAGCACACATAGCACAGAAAAGGAGCAGACAGACGCCAGACAGAGACTCTGGGCAGGCTCGAAGGGAACGGAGATCTGTGCAGTGCTCACCTCTCGTGCTCCGGTGTAAACAAAGGCACTGGGGCAGAACACATGTGTGCATCTACTGAGCACCTCGTCTTTGCAGAAGTAGCACCCAGTAAACACAACAGGCATGCAGAGAGAGGCAGGGAGTCAGGTCTGGTTAACACGTGTGCACACACACGTACAAGCACGCACATGTACAGAAGGTGGAGGGGAAATGCGGTGGGTGGGGTGGATCAGGAGACCAGAGACAGGGCGACAACTGTGAGTGACTCCTGACTTCATGCAAAGACACGGAGGCCACACTGAGGTTTCTGATCCACCAGAAAAGACCCGTGTCTTTAACGTGAAGAGTAAGATGAAAGGAAGGCTGGCCTCTGATTGGTGCAGAGAAGGAAGGATGCTGGTCCCAGTGGCCCCCAGAGATGATGAACAGAAAGGAATGAAATAAGGGAGGTTTCAGGAAACCACCATGGATTTATTTTTTGTTATTATGATGTTTTTACCATGGATTTATGAATGGGCTCCCTTTACGGGGAAATAAAGATGATAGAGAAGACTCAGGAGCCTGCAGTAGAAGTCTCAACCAGCTCAGAGAACACTGAAAAAGAGCAGGTTTAGGGAGGAGGTGGCTGGTTTGAGAGCTCTCTATCTGATGTGTCCTTGGTCACAGTCAGTAGTGAAGCTGGGTCCAAAACCCACGTATGTCTCTTTCCACTGAATAGTCAGTTCACATCAACAGAAAGACACAGGGAACAGAGCAGCCTACTGCTCCAATAAATCTGTAAAAGTTTATATCTTTGCCTCTGATTTAGATTCTTGATCACATTTCCTTTTGTGTTCCAAGAACTGACCCATAGATATTTACTTCTCAAGCACATCCAAAGCTTCAGTTAAAATCGAGCAGCATTAAAATAAATTACAGAAGCCTCAATTAGTTAATTGTTTGTGTATTATAAGAGAGCGTGGCAAGAGATCATGACCAGCTCCCTCCAGGGGTGAAGCTCTGAAACAAAAGAGGAAATAACCAAGACTTGCAGACTCAACTACATAAACATTCAATCGTTGACAATGAAATAGACAAAGGGAAAAGTACTAGACCATAATATCTATGCAATATAAAACAGTAATCACATTTTAATGGAAAGTATAGTAAGTTAAGTAAATATAAAAGGAAACAGGCAATTCCACACAAAGAGAAGCATTTGTATTTGCTGGTACTGAAGGGGAAGAAAAAAGCAAATCAAAGCAACCACAGGTACTATTTTAGGAGTATTAGCCAACGCTACTGATATTATGCTAAAAACTAGAGGGACTAGACTACAATGAAGTATTTTCCAAAGGGCATTATGAATAAAAAGCAGTCCAATGAAATGATCCAAAAAAAAGAAGAGAGAGAGAAAGAGAGAGAACATTAAAGCGGTCAAATCAGTTCAAGAAATCTTGCATCCCCTGCTTCCTGCTTCTCCTGCCACCTGAAGATTTCCCAGCATGCTTCAGCATGCGTATCCTAGGCTCTGGGAGTAAAGGAGTACGTTGAACCCAGGTGGTTTCTCAAATTTGCTTGGCCAGAAAACCCTTTTGGGGCACTACACCCAAAGCACTCTGCAGAACAAGTAGTCTGTACGTACTCGGGAAAATACTGACGTAACGGTTAAATCACTAGGACTCAGCCAGCTGGCCACACCTGGATGCAAATCCCATTCCATTCCTGACAGCTATGGCCCCCTCATCTGCAAAACGGGAACATCTGCACCCGGGAGGCTGCTGGGGAACTAGGAAATGCACCTGCGTGGTGACCAGCACACAGCAGCACCAAAATGCTGGTGCACTCACATCTCACTAATGCCATGTTCCGCTCGAACGGTGTTATGAGCAGGGACGGGGCTCCTTACCACTTTGGCCTGCCATCCTTCACAGCTTCTTCCTCCTCTTCATCATCACTGAACTTCAATTTCTCAGAGTAGTCCACTTCCTCATGGAGGCCTGCAACAGGAGGAGTGTCAAGGAGAATGACAAAAAATGTGAATCTCGACAGTGCTAAGAGCGCCAGTGGGAGGCTTCCTCCAGGCAGGAACTATGTCAACCCGACTGGGTGAGTCACACCACCCAGCTGCTACCAGCAGAGCAAACACAGCAGATTAGAGTGAAGGACAGCTCTGACTCTAGTAACAGCAAAGAAGCCTGGTTAGACTAACCCTCCTTAGTTAGACTTAACCCTATTAAGATAACAGTTCTTGAATCTGGACAAGATATTCTGCAAGTATACTAGGTGCAGGAGAGTGAGCAAAAGCGGGCAGACACCACGCAGGAGTCTATCCCAGCAATACAGAAGCCCGACCAGATCTGCGAGTTGCCGCTTTGTCCCAGGGCACTCCCCACCCTGCGATGGGCGACACACAATGTGGTACTACAAAAGGGGATCCCTGAAAACATTCTGCCAAGTGCTAGAGCCAGATGTGAAAGGCCACATATTATGTCATCTATATGAAATGTCCAGAGTACACAAACCCAGAGGCAGAAAGTAGATCAGTGGTTGCCAGAGGGTGTGGTGGTAACTGGGAGTGACTGCTAACAGGTAAGGGGCTTCTTTTGTGGGTGACAAAAATGGTCTGGAATTAGTAGAAATGATGGCACAAACTTGTGACTATACTAAAAAATCTCTGAATTTTAGACTTTAAAAGGGTAAATGTGACATAACATGAAACTTTGTTACATGAACTATATATAGTTAAAAAAAGGGAAACAACAACAAAAAGCCCGATTCAACTAAAAAGAACATTAGATCTGATGACACAGCACGTGCAACGATGTGCCATCTACCAGAGCATCACTTTAAATACAAACACAAAAGGGTTTCTAAGGAAAAGAATGGAAAAATATATACCATGACAACAATAAACAAAGTTAGAACAACGATTTTAACATTTAACAAAACAGACTCCAAGAACTATTACAAGAAATAGAGAAGGACATCAGAAAACAACAAAGGGTCAGTATGTCAGTATGTCTAAAAATGACCAATGTGCTTATGCCTCATAACAGCTTCAAATTAAATAAAGCAAAACTGACAGAATTAAAAGAAGAAAGAGACAGTGAATTATAGCGAAGAGTTTTTTAACACCTCAGTTTCAGTAACTGATAGAAGTAGGCAAAAATATCCGTAGGTACATAAGGTCTGAACAACACTGACAACCACCTTGACTGTGTTGACATTTACAGAACATGATCTCTAACATCTAGAGAGTACACATTCTTTTCAAATGCAGCTGGAATATTCACCAGGGCAGACCATATCCTGATCATAAAATAAGTCTCAATAACTTGAAGTCATAAACAATGTGCTCTCTTGACTGTAATGAAATTAAGTTAGAAATCTAGAAAGCCCCAATAATTAAAATGAACAGATCGATGAACTAGAAAACAATCAAGCAATGGAGAAAATTAAAGCTAAATGCCGCCCCTTTGTGAAGATTAAGAAGACTACTAAGCCCTTGGCAGAAGTGAACAGAAAAAGAGAAAAAACACAAATTACCAACTGTCAGGAATGGAAGTGGTGTATCACTACAGATCCTGCAGACCTCGAAAGGGAAAGGAACGTTGTCAACAACTTTACACCAAGAAGTTCAACCAAAAGAAATGAACAAATCCCTTGAAAATCACAACTTATCAAGCACTGATACAAAACACAGGAAACCTGAGCAGCCCTGTGACTAATCAAACAAATTATCACAAATGTCTTCAGAAAGGAAACTTCAGGATCAAATTGTTTCACAGGTGAAGTTTATGAAGCACGTATCAAAGAAAATAATACCAACCCATGGAAGCTCTTTCAGAAAGTAAAGAAGGAACATTTTCCAACACATCTTTTGAGCACAGACATAAGATGATTATCAAAACCCACAAAGATATTAAAAGAAAATTGCAGACCAATATCCACCATGAACTAGACACCAAGAAGCTTAATAAAATATCAGCAAATCCAATCTAACCATACAAACAGGTAGAATTTACTCTAGGAATGAAAAGCAGGTTCAGCATTAAAAAAAAAAATCAATGCAACCCAATAGATTTTAAAACAAAAGAAAAAAAATCATATGATCAGAGATAGAAAAAGTATGTAACAAAATTCAATACCCATTCATGACCTAAAAAAGCCATTTAGCAAACTAGAGTAGAAGAGAACCTCTCCGATCTGGTAAAGACCATCTCCAGAAGGCCTACAACTGTCATCAGACTTAAAGGGGAAACACTGAACACTTTCTCCTTAAGATCAGGAACAAAGAACTTGAATACAACACCGTACTAAAAGTGGCACAGTGCTGTAGGACAAGAAAAAGAAATGAAAGGCATAAGCTCTTCCTACTCATAGACAACATGATGGTTTATATAGAAAATTCTAAGAAATCAACAAAAACTAGTAAAACTAAAAAGTGTACTCAGTGAACTTTCCAATATAAAATCAATACACAAAAATCAACTCTACTTATGTATATATAATAACACTAAAGACTGAAAAATAAAATGATTAAAAAAGAACGCCATTTACAACAGCATCAGAAAACATAACAATATTTAGGAATAAATTCAACAAAAATGTTCAAGACCTCTAGAATGAAAACTACGAAACACTGCTGAGAGAAATGAAAATACCTAATAGAGAAAGTTTCTTCACGTTCCTGGACAGAAGATTCAAAATTAAGATATCATTTATCCAGAAATAAATTCAACACAATCTTAATCAAAATGCCTGCAGGTCTTTTAAAATACTGACAGGTTGATTCTAAATTCATATGAGAATGAAAAGAATTTAGGATAGTCAAATAATCTTGAAAAAGAACAAAACTGGAAAACTTACACTACTTGAATATAAAACCTACTATGAAGCTACACTGTGGTACTGGCATAAGGATCAGGGGACCAGATACAGACCCACACTTACATGATCAGCTGATTGTTGGCAAAGGTACCAGAGCAGCCCAATAGGGAGAGGAAAGTCTTACCAACAAACGGTGCAGAGCAACTGGGTGTCCTTACGGATTAAAACGAACCCTGACTGCTACCTTGCTTCATACACAAAAACTACTACAACACGAACCACAGGTCAGTAAGTAACAGGTAAAGCTGTAAAACATAAGGGAATACCTTCACCACCAAAGAGAGACAAAGATTTTTATAAAGGACACAAAAGTAAAAATCATAAAAATAAATTTATAAATTAAACTTCATCAAAGTTTAAAACTTCTCATCAATACCTAGGGCTAAAAAAAAATGAACAGACAAGGTAGGCAATGGGAAAAAAGATCTGTGAAGTGCTTGTATTCAACCACTCGGGAAAAAAAGGTACCAGTAGCCAAATAGCACATGAAACATGAAAACGTGTTGATCACCATTAGTCATCGGCAAGATACAAATTAAAAGCACCATGAGCTACCACTACACACCCACTAGAATGGCTATATGTTGTGAGGATGTAGAGCAACCAAATTCTCAAAACTGCTGCTGGGGATGACACCTCCAACTACCATGGAAAAAGGTCTGTGGACCTTACAAACCTAACACACACCTACTCTCTGATCCACAGTCCTACTCCTAGATATTTACTCAAGAAAAATGAAAATATTATTCATAATAGAACATTTGGGTGGATAAACAAATTGCAGTATTTGACACAGTGAAATATATCTCAGTTATTAAAAGCAACCACTGATATATATAACAAAATTGATGAACCTCAAAAACCTGACACCAAAGTAACAGCTGTAGGACTCCATCCATTTGCAGTTGTGTAACAGGCAAAACTAATCCAGGGTAAGATGGGAGGGAAGCCTTGGGCAGAGTCAGGGAGGAAGACTGACTGGGAAGGGACTAGGGGGCTGTATCACACATGTGGGTGCATTTGCAAAAATCAAACAACTAAATGTGTGCCTTTCAATGCCATTAAAATTTACTTGTAAACAAACAATCCAAAAGAATTTCAAAAGAAAGTAAGGTTGGGGGATGGGGTGCAGGTGAAGGTAGTGGAAGAATCTTGGCAGAATGGGGTGATGGGCAGCCTGGTGGGGGGTTCATTACACTGTTTCAACTTTTCCATTATAAAAAATCTTTTCAAAAAGTTAACAAAAATCTCCCTCTGAGATCAAGACCATGGTCTTGAAGCAAACACGGTCTGAATGCCAACCTCTTCAGGGCAGTGAAGCTGCTCCCTGCCCCGTGTCTCCATTCTGACCTGCCGAGGGAAAACACGAGGCTGTCAGAGGGTGTTATTTTCAAGCCTGGTAAGCAGAGACGGACTGTAGGCCTCCCATTTTAAATCATCAGTTGCGAGCACACCAGGCACGCCATAACCCACCTGCCCAGCCATCGTCAGCGTCGGTGTCCAGATCGTCAAGGCCCTTCAGGTTTTCCGCATTGATAATGGTGGGCCGTGGCGCCCGTTCCACCAGCTGCCTCAGGGGACGGACCGGGCGAGTCACCCCCATCCTGTTTTCTTTTCTGATGAGAGAGAGAAGGGTAGAGATGCTGGACCCATGACAGGTATACAGGCGGAAGTCCTACATTGCCAAGGTGCATGTTTGCCTTTAATATTAAAATCATCTCCTTTTTACAAAACATATAATGAAGGAGTTCAGCTTCCCAGACAGAAGTTCAGCTTCCTTCTGCAGTTTTACACGCTCAGTGCTAACATCTAGGGTAGCAGCAATAAACATGTGCCAAATCTTCAACTTTGTCAGGAACTTGAAATGAAACCCCATCCCTTGTTCAGCCCCATGTCCCAGCCAGCCATCCCACACACCCTGGGGCCTCGAGTTGGTTTTCAGGTTTCCTGAAGTCTCCAGAAGACAAAGCACTCTCATGCGTCAGCCCCACCATCTTGTCCAGTATCACCAACTGGGATAGCTTCTACATACGTGACTATAATGCAGTAGCCTTACCCGTCTTGGTCATTCATCTGGAACTGTCTAAAAGGAACACGGGGCTCAAGACGGAGCTGGGGAAGGGGAAAAGATCCTCGTTCCACTGTACCCTGGTTCTCTGATGACTGTGGCGAACACATCTGAAACATAACATCAATGAACAGGGATTTCTGGTAATGGCCCAGATTCTAAGTTCCACTTGCATTAAAATTTGTTTTGGAAAACGGAAAATGGGAAAAACAGGAAAGTCTTGGGGTTTCCCAATTAACTCTATCACCATCTCCCCCGTTTTTCTCCTGCTGTCAGTATATGAATCCAGGGACTTGTGTCTTGGGGAATACCTGCCTCTCCTTCTTCTAAAGAACCAAGGCTAAATGACGTCCATATCACCAGGGAAAGAAGTTAGAGGCTGTTGAGATTTGAAAAGGGGGAAAGAAAATGCAAGAGTAATGGATGCCTCCAGAGTAGGGTATCAGGGCAAAGAAATCGGGAGGGAGAACCCCAGGTAGACATTCAACCACTTGAAGGAAGCAGGTTCTGCTGGACATGAA